CATCCAGGGCCTTGTCGTCCTTATGTGCCCTCACGTTGCCTCCAACTTCCAGCAAGGGGCTGTCTCCAGAATGTCCTGTCCTCAACTGCCCTGCTCAGCGCTTGTAGACTCAAGCCTGTGGCTTCCTTTAGGAAACCGGTCCATCTCATGATGGGTCTTCCTTTTTTTTTCACTGCTTGCCTTTCTGATCCCAAAGGGCAGGGATCCATCAGCCACTGAGTGGGAGTGGCTGATGGATCCCTGGCCCATTGTGGTAACTGGTGGTTTGGGGCCGGCCAGTGAACTCCTGTTGAGTCCTGATGAAGGCAGAAAGCCAACAGTGCCTTCGAAAGTTGTCTGGGTGATTGGCAGGGGGGCTAGCATCAGACAGATGACGTGCCTCTTCCTCCCCACAGCAGACGGCCGGCCCCTTGGTTTGGGCAAGCAGTGTCTTTATAGCCTAGCCCTCCTGAATTACAAATGGCAAAGAGAAATAGCAGACAATCCACCTCTAAAGGGAGGAGAGAGTTTTGGCTGCTTGCTGGGTGGCACAAATTCCTTCTCTGATCAGGTCAGCATTTTATCACCCTGATAAGATAAGCCAGGTTAAGAACAATAGGTCTGTAAATTCAGGATGTGACACACTGCTTCTTTCTGAACTCATGGCTCCCACTAAAGCAGGTGACGTGACATTCAAGAAACCGTGGATGAATGCATTTCATATAGGAGACGTGTTATCCATAGGGCTGACCGAAAAGACCCCTATGCCTTGATGAAGGAAGAAAATTACTGTATTTTTCTTTGATTCTAAGCTGCCATGTGGGGAAAAAAACATTTGAGAGAGATTGATGACAATAAATTTCATAAGTCTTCTCCCACTTTCCTGCTGCTTTGTCAACAGGGGGTGGCTCACCTCGTGGTTCATGATCTTCCCGTAGGTCTCCACCAGAGACTCAGCATAGAAGGGAGTCTCGCCAAAAAGCAGCTCATACATACAGACCCCCAGGGACCACCAGTCACATTCTGGGCCATATTTTCCTTTTCTGTCCTCCATGGCTTGCAAGATCTCTGGGGAGATGTAGTCAGGGGTTCCCACAGCCACCGAAGAGATCACCTGGAAAGAGAGAGAGAGAGAGAGAGAGAGAGAGAGAGAGAGAGAGAGAGAAAGAAAGAGAG